ATATTCACCTTCATAAAAGAAGCTTGTTAATCACCTATTTTTGCATCACAAAGGCCACAATAAAAACTCCTAACTTCTTTATAATGTAACTTTTCCCATGTGGCCATCTGTGAATTAACATAATACCGCTTTTTTGATCTACTTTTTTACAGATAAATTCTTGACCTTTTAATCCCACTGTGATGATCGTAAGAAACTGAATGGAGTCAGCAGCTACCATTTCTAGAACATGAAACACATTTAAGGCTTCTGCTAAACACTTCTGTAAGTGATCAGTATGTTTTGTAAGACTTTTTAGAAGATTTCAAATTGGGTTCTTGGCACAGGCCATTCAAAGAAGTATAACATAGATAAGTAACAAATTTCCTTCTTAAACACTGAAGAGGAATACATGAATAGCCTGAATATGAATGAGGATAAGAACATGAACTCTTGGATGGATGTGGAATATTATAAAATCACCTAAATAACAAAACATTTAAGTTTTAGCTAATTTGAGATCTTCACTTTGGAACTGTAATCCTAGAAAAGTGCTCTGCCATTGTAGATATAGTTATATTCTCTAATCTGAATGAGATCATAAGACAATTTCCTAGTTTATTTCATAAAGTAATACAAATCAAGTTAACTCAGTCTCACAAAACCCAGTGATTTCTAGATTACTGGTTCTTTTAAGTATGTAATTCTTAAGCAATTCATATTAACCTCATAACATCCTTGCCTTTTTCCTTCTTCCAGGAATGAATGAATAAATGGAATAATACTCAGATGAAATTAGCATTTTCCTTGCTTTCTTTAATCTTCTCTTCTGTTATTCATTTTTGTAACATGTAAAACAATCAAATTGATCAGTATAACAGCCATTTTGTAACATGTAAAACAATCAATATATGCCATTTTTGTAACATGTAAAACAATCAAATTGATCAGTATAACAGCTGGTTCAGAAGTAATAGTGAATTAATCTTGTTTATGAAGCTTTGAATTTATCATAAGCAATAACCAACTTTCAGTGTTCCCACTGTTCTTTGAGTAGATGACACAGTCTTGCAAATAAATGTTGAAATAAATGTATTGTAAATTGTTTTGAAACATTAGCAGTAAAAGAACCTTTCAAATATAGAGCATAGCAACTACAGGTGAGCAATTAATAACATATTTATCCAGAATTCATTATGTCAGATCATAGACTTCTCCAGTGTGTGTGTGTGTGTGTGTGTGTGTGATATATGGGGGGGAGGGAAGCTGAGAAATATTTTAAATGCTTTTAGTAATGTTTTGGTCAATTTCTTGAAGTCTTGCACAATGTGGCAACTGAAAAAGTTATGCTCAGTTTCAGTAAATTGAGGGTTTGGAAAATGTGGTTTTTGACATTTGGGACTGAGATAATTAGATTGGGCACATCTTACACAATAATCTGCAATCTGAGAATACATCACTTTTGTGTGCAATACCAATTTTTTAAAATAATGTAATGCTTTCTTTGAGGTTAAGTTTGCAGTGTTATTCTATATCATCTAAGGATTACAGCAGCACTTACATTTTTTTCAAGAGCCAAATTTTTGGTTTTCCTTTGTTAAAATAGAAGTAAACATTTGATATCACAGTATACTTAAAAAGAAAAACTACCGTATATAAAGAGATGCCCTTCTGCTTATTCAATACTACTTAATTAAGACAGATGCCCAATACATCTTATTCTTCTAATTACATTTAAGTACATTCCATGTGGAGTCCTTGACAAGAATCTCATAATAGTGTCTTCTATTAAAATATAGCCAACATTTTGTTCTACAGATTTATTTGGCGGTTTTATGAATCATGACCTGCTTTTTCAAGCTTTGAGTTACATTTATATTTTTTATTTCCCCTCTTCATTCTTACCTCATTTTGCTTCTGCATATGCCAAACCTTCATTACCAAGAGACTTCAACACAGCGACTTCAACATGCAATAGTAATAGTAATAGTAGTAAAGTTGGAAGGGACCTTGGAGGTCATCTAGTCCAACCCCCTGCTCAGGCAGGAAACCCTACACCATTTCAGACAAATGGCTGTCCAGTCTCTTCTTAAAAACTTCCAGTTTTGGAGCATTTACTGCTTCTGGAGGCAGGTTGTTCCACTGATTAATTGCTCTCACTGTCAGGAAATTTCTCCTTAGTTCTAGGTTGCTTGTCTCCTTGATTAGTTTCCACCCGTTGCTTCTTGTCCTGCCTTCAGATGCTTTGGAAAATAGCTTGATTCCCTCTTCTTTATGGCAGCCCCTGAGATATTGGAATACTGCTATCATGTCCCCCCTTGTCCTTCTCTTCGTTAATCTAGACATACCCAATTCTAGCAACCGTTCCTTATATGTTTTAGCCTCCAGTGAATCTGATCTTCAGGTATCTTAATTATATACCGTGTTTCCCTGAAAGTAAGACCTACCCTGAAAATAACCCTAGCTTCATTTTTGGGGGTGGGCCTAATATAAGCCCTGCCCCCAAAATAAGCCCCAGTTTTGGGACAAGGGACACACATAAAAATCAAAATAGGGCAGGGTGCAGGAAGTGGAGTTGCCCCATGCACCCAGCACCCACTTGCCAGATCTCCCATGAATCAACACCTGCCTCTCCTTGCTGGCCCACTTCTTCTGCAGTGTTCCTGGCCTGCATTTCACAGTCAGAGACCTTTTTATTCTCAGCTGCAGAATGAAGCTGCTCCTTCAGCGGCAGAAGTGGGCCGGCTTAGCGAGGCTGTCAGTGCCGCTGCTGCAAGGTAAGTGGAAAAGACAACCACCACTAAGCTTTTACCTTAGAGTTAAATTCCTGGTTTTGCTCAATGGATGCTGATTTGGCTTGCTTGCAAGTTATCAAAGAAAGGAAGTATCACCTCTAGCTTGGAAATGGCAGCTACTATGGAAGATCCCATGCTGTTAGTTTTGAATAGGGAAAAATTAACAAAATTAACAGTAAATTGTTCAAATAATATTCAGAAAATAAATTCCAAACCATTCTTACAGCTTTAATCAAGCTATGATTTGTTTTTGATGAAACTAAATAGAAAGTTCCTGCAATTCAAACAGCCTATATGTATATGTACATCTTTATTTTCAGGAAAAAACTGTGGATATCAGGCTTGCATGCATGTGCTTAATAAATGTACTGAGCCAAATAAAAAAATAAATCAGTAGGCCTGGGAAACTACTGAAAAGATACTTTCAGAAGCCTTGACCTAAGCCAAAGATAGTTTATTTTCAGAGACCTTGAACAAAGCTGACTCTAATTTAAATATTTTTATTCTTGGAAATGAGGAAGAGATGGCCTTCACCGAATGAAATCATTATATCTATTTGTAAATATTATTTTGAAAGAATAAGTTACTGCAATTGCCAGTTAGGGAACAGATGATGTTATCTAAAAGTGACTTCCTAGCACTCTTTCTTTCATTAACCTTGGCTACTCTTCTTGAATTAAAGTTGAATTATATAATTGTACTTCCAACCCTGAAACCTATTTTTGCCCTGCTGATTCTTTCTGGCACTTGCTCCAAATGTTTTTAGCTACAAATATTTCTGCATCAGAATTTCATAATGGATTTAGCATATGGACAAATGATACTGAGACTGCAAAAGCACAAATAAATTATGTATTCGTGCGCGCACACGCACGCACACGTGCGCACACACACACACACACACAAACACAAGAATGGAAAAAACATTAATTGTAAATCTAAAAATATGAGAGGATAATGGAACACAATTTAAACTAACAAAGGAAGCCCCTACCACATAACTTCAAAGACAAGAGCAGTTCCATTTAAACTTAATTATATAATAATATTCTTGCTTTAATTTTTTTCTGTAAAGCAACATATCGTTGCAAAGTTCAAATCTAGCACAGAGGATGTTACTTGTTAAACTAGAAACAAAGTGACAGGCCACTTATGAGCAAGCCTGTTTCTGATCCTTTGAATGAAATATGGTCATTATTTGTTGAATGTCAGTTTGGGTTAGTTTTATTTAGTTTCAGGGGAAAGAGAGCAATAGCTCATTTTAGTACATGCTCACACAAAAAAACCCATGGAATCTTCTTATTCAGGATTTACGTTTGATCTAAATTATATGCCTGCAAGATTGAACAGTAATGCCCTCCTCCCACCCTATGCTTTTGAAGAAATGCCATATTGCTTTGTATACAAAGTGGTTTTGCTTTCATGTATCGCGTGCTGTTAATTATAGTCCAGATTCTACTAGCTTTACTCATGCAATTAGTTGCTCTTGGCATAGAAGCTAGATATTCTAAAATTCATCAATGTATTCCCAAGGAAGGGCACTACTGAAAACGAATGGGAAGACTGTGGGCCTTATTTTGTAACATCAGTATCCATGATGTGCGTATGAGTTATAACTTCTTGCTTTGTAAATACATTTTCTAGTAGTCAGTTGAAAGGCTTTCTTGGATGAAAAATGGAAAATGAACTTTTTTACGCCCATGTTCAGATCAGGCATAGAGAGTCCTGTCCTGTGATTTGAACTCTCTTGGATTTGCAGTTCCTGACTCATTCTGATGACTTTGGAAGCTATGGAAATGAGATTTCCCCAGGCATCCTGATCATAATGAATGAAGAAATTAGTTCTTACCCCAATTACATCATGGCATTTAAACATATTGATTTGGAGCAAAATGAATCAAACTTGATTTAGCTCAATATTTATAAAACTCAGTAATAGTGATCACCCAGAATTTCACCACATATTTTGCTTTGAGTAAATTTCAATATTTAACTTTTATAATCCACAATGGGATGGTTTATTCTTTTCCTTTCCCTAATCTCTAGAATAGAGAAATCTTGGATTTACTTTCTAAAAGTTCATAAAGTTAAAGAATGGTCATCATTTCAGGAAGCATTAGACAAGGGACTAACATTGCTATAACTATGCAAAACCTTCTAAATGTTAAAATAAGATGAATGAGATCTTTTGGCTGTTTTTTATATTTAGGAAGAAAAAAATCAAAGTTTTTTTTCCCATTAATTTTTATTCTTATAATTGGAAAATCATAATCGTAACAAAAGTTAGCTTTTAATTTTCATTTATTTCTTAAGAGAACTTCAAAAAGTATCTCAAATCAACTAAGTCCCAATAACTGCAGACAGGATCAAGTTTCTAGGAAAGTGCTGCTGCTTATATCTGAAAATTCACATACAACAAATTTAGCAAGATATAAGAACTTTCCAGAATAAAATCACTAGCATTATTCATTCATTGTTTAATACAAAGCTGATTAAATATATTCTTGCAAACATAAGGATATGTAGCAAAGTAACTTTTAAGTGCAATGCAGCTGCCATTTGATTGTATTGTAATAGAAATCAAATACTTACAAGGGTAAATCTGGTAACCCAAATTTAAGTTAACTTTGTAAAAACCTCTTTCATTGGGTCTCATGTAAGAAATTAGCAAGCTAATAAGGTTCCTATTTAAGGTGAATAATGAAACTTTGCTCAATATTTGCTCAATATTATGATTATTATGTTAAAATATTTTCAAAATAAATTGTCCTTCAACTATAACATTTAAGTATTACATTTCTTTAAGTGTATTTTAAAAATCATCTGGCATTATTACAATTACAGTAAATTTAAGATTACCTACAATTAAAAGTTCTGGGGAGTGATGAGCCATACTGCGATGGTATCTGAATTTTACAAAAATATTTATTTCCTGATAGTAAACCAAATTTCTTAAAAAGTGTGAAAGTTGATACTTTGTGACATAAAATTCAATCATAGTTCAGTTAATACACTATGCAAAGTAAAGATATCCAACATGATTCATGAAACTTCATCCATATCAGCAATAGAAATCAAATCAATTTACTTGAATTCATACTGAGCTATTACCCCGGCATCAAACAGATCCTGTATAACATCATTCTTATACCCCAATATACTCTTCAGTACATCCAGTGTATGTTGTCCAACCAGAGGTGGTGGTTTAGGATCTGACACTTCAAACTGGCTATACCTTACAGCTGGTCCTGTTGAAAAAAAATATGAAATCTATTATTAATTTTGTGCGCAATATCCTCCAGAACTGCTACGAAAAGTGCTTCTGCTATAAATACAATTATTTAATATAAGAAATAGATAATTAAGATGCAATATCCACCTAAAGGTATTTTTCTATTTTCTGGTTACTTGCAGCCATTTCCAAAACATAGTAGAAATGTAAACAAACTATCAGAACCAAATACATTTATTCAGAGTACCAGAATGTCTAATTTCATTCTTTATATTAGAAGAGATCTTTTACAGAATTTCCTACTTTTAACTGATTTAAAAAACCCCATACTGAAATATATTTAAAAATATATCTAAAACTGAGACAACTTTTCAACAATGTCTATCCCATTGTTGAAAAGTTTTTATTGTCAGGATGTGATTCTTATTTTTTTTTTGGAACTCAAATTCATTGAGTCAACTCTTGTCCTTAAAGCAATCAATTTCCTATGATAGTTGTTCTGCTGCAGGTTCAACCTGCTCAGTTCTTTCAGCCTTATTTATATGCATTAGTATGACTATTAATAGATGTACCAAATCTCCATTGTTATACAATGCACACGTTATAGTTAGAATGAACAGGTTAATTTTACAATATAGGAAAGGCCAAACATTGTGTTACTTATATGTTCATTTGCAATTGAAGACACTTGCTTTAGGTCAAATGAGATGCTTCTCATGCACAGCATCTGCCTGCATGCTTGCATTACATTGTCTCTTCAGTTAAAACTGTTCTAAAATTGAACATTTATCTGTTTAGAGCATAAGCTGCATTCTTTGGTTTCACTAAACTTGCATTTTCTTGCTTGCAGAAAACACACAAAGGACTTGAATCCTGAGATTATGGGGGAGGCAGAGACTGATCTTTTCCAATTGCTCAGGATACTTTCCTTAGTATGATGTCTCTCAGGAACATGGCATGATAAATTCTCTCAATTCTCTTTAGAACAATGGAATTAGAATCTCTATTAATAAGAAGACAAAAAGGGTAAATCACTTAATCTATTGACAAGACAATACCTTGGAAACTAGTTGTGTATTTACTATTTAAAACATGTATTTTTCCCCAAAAGATTAAATTGACTTTCAAACATTATTTTTATTTTTACACCAGTTTTCCTCAAAGAAAAGCCAGCATAAGATGACCAAATTTTTTTTAAAACTATAAGTTCAATAATTCAAAATATATTATCTCACTTTGATATTGACTTAAAAATAGGAATGTGTTCTGCACAATCGCAACTCCTTGATTATTTTCAGGACCCCATAGAAAGCCACAATACAATAATCCAGTTTAGCCCTAGTTTTGGCAATGAAACAGTTTTGATTGCATAGTAGGATTATCTGTTCTAGCAAAGAAGTGGGGGAATTCAACCCTCTAGAGCAGGGGTAGGCAACCTTGGCTCTTTATGACTTGTGGACATCAACTCCCAGAATTCCTGAGCCAGCCATGCTCTAGAGTTTTCTGAATCTTGTAACAATTTCTGACATCATCAAATGTAATCCTTCGTTCTATAAAGATGTGGATGGAAATTTTCTGCAATGGTTCTGTGTTAAAAATCTTTAAAAAGGATGCTGAAAGAATAAAACTAAAGAATTATTCCCCAATGTATGCATGTATTATGACTTATCATGCAAGTTGTTAAGATATATACTCTAGATATTACTTCCTCATCAAGGTCTGAAGGGGGATAAAATGAACAGTTATACTTATAATACCAAATTGTTCCTGTAGCAGTTAACCCCATATCACTTTTTTAAATTTTATTTTGTGACTTTCTCCCGCAATATTTTAGGCACCTAATATACTATATAAAAGTTGCAGGATATATTAAAAGATAAAATATTAAAAATAAAACAGTGGAAGCAAAATTTGTTACATAATGTCAACAAAGGACAAAACAGCTGTTTTGTTTTAAAAAGTCATAATGTCAGACCTGCCCCAATCTGATCCCTTAGGAAAGAAAAGCCTTTGACTCCATTCGATTAAAGCAAAGGGGTTCTTTTTCTAAAAGTGCTTGTTGAACTAAAGTCGAGACAGCACTGAAATTACCGTGCTTGCCAGATACAAAAATAAGGTATAGGTTTGTCCCCAGCCCATTCCTCCCCTGGTGACCAGTCTGTTTCCAGCCAACTGGAACTTGCCAACATATTTTGAGAACTCTGAGATGTTTGGGGGTAATTCTCAGGGTGCCTGGTCATGGGATGCTGATGCAAACAGGATCTGGCTGCTTTGGTCCTTCTCACCTGTCATTCCCCCCCTCCCGGTTTCCTATCATGTACACACAAATCTTTATTGCCTTTTCATCCTTCCCCCTCTTCTTCCCCCTTTCATCCTTCTCCCCCGTTTTCTTTTTATGGCAGGATGCCTGTGAGGCCCGCAAGCCAAGCCATTCTGTCCCCCCCACACACAGAGCCGTTAATCCTGCAAAAGAACAAATGAGAAGGGAGGGAAAGATACAGAAAATTTCTCAATTAGCAAACAGTTCATTGAGGCTTATCTGGGTGTCGGTCATGGAATTCTTTAAGCAGTTTGGGTGCTTTAATATGTTGGGAGTCAACCCATTCAATTTCTGAGGGGGGAAAGTCTTTCCAAGCTACCAAATACTGAGTTTTTCCCCGATGTATGCAAGACTCCAAAATGTCTTTGACATCAAAGTGCTGCTCTCCCTCAGTCATAATGTGGTCAGGAGGTGGTTGCGAATCAGGATGATTTCTGGTTCCAGTAGCCTACAATGGAATACAGGATGTACATGTCTGAGCATTTTTGGCAGCTCAAGTTCTACAGTTATTGGTTAATAATACTCTTGATGGGGAAAGGCCCAACATATTATGGCCCCCCATTTTTTTTTTTTTTTTTGATGGCTGTTTAGACTGTAGGAATTTGTAGAGAGATATACCTTGTCTCCTATCTTAAAATCCTTTGGCTTGATGCACTTTTTATCATTTTTTTTTGTATGCATCCCTAGCTTCATCCAAAGCTTTTCTCACCACTGCTTAGGTGTTCTGTAACTGGGCAACTGGGCAACTGGGCAATCTTTCAACTATGCAGTCCATGGAATGGCCTGAGGTAATTCAGGGATAGCTACAAAGTCTTGCCTTGTGGCCACTTTAAATGGAGTGAATCTGGTGCTACTGTGCACTGAGTTATTGTAGGTGACCTCTGTGAAAGGGAGGAGGTCCATCCAATATAGCATTTGAGGTACTGCTCCAGGATTCCATTGGCTCTCTCACAGCCCATTAATAGCCAGATGATGCAAGGAGCTGAGCCCCTGAGTGGTCCCCAAAGGTTTTAGGAATCCCTGCTATAGCGCCAAAGTGAATTGGACTCCACAATCTGAGATTATTTTTTCTGAAGCACTACACATCTTATAGACATGCTGCATGAATAGTTTAGCCAAAGTGCATGCTGAGATCATTTTTTGACAAGGTAAAACAAATCGGAGAACAAATCAGTTATCACTCAAATTACTATATTTCCCGAGCTTTGGGCAGTTGTACAATAAAGTCTATTGATATCTCTTTCCATAGGGCTTTGGGCTCTGCTACTGGCTGGAGAATTCTGTATATTTTCCTTTGTCACCTCTTGGCAGAGGCACAAAAGGTGCAGCAAGCCACATAGCTCTCTATATTCTTTCTCAGTGACAGCCACCAAAATTGCCACTTGATTAGGTGCAGGGTTTTACGAAGCCGAAGTGCCCCACCACTTTTGAATCATGACTTTTTTGTAGAACCATTTATCGTTGACTTTGTGGGACATATAGTTTAGTTCCCACTCAAGCTAATCCATCTTGCATTGTACATTCTCCGCTGTGCATTTGGAACCATTTGTCCTCCTCCAAAGCTCCTTCAGGGTACCTTTTAAATCATCAACTAGTTGGGTTTTTATTTTGGCTTGTGCAAAAATGGTGGTGGTGACTGGGGCCACCAGTTGCCTGGAGGGGATGACTGATTTAATTACCTCTGGCTTTGAACTATTGTATTGTGGCAGTCTGGATAAAGCATCTGCTAGAAAGTTCCTCTCCTCAGGAAGGTACCATAACATGAAGTTGAATCAGTTAAAGTAGTGGGCCCACTGATCCTGTTTGGGCGATAGTCTCTGGGGTTTTTTCAAAGCTTCTAAATTTTTATGGTCAGTCCATATTTCAGATGGGGTTTTCCCTCCTTCTAGAAAATGCATCCAAGTTAGGAGCACCCAGTGGATCGCATAGGCTTCCTTCTCCCAGAGTGCCCATCTCTGTTCCGTCTTATTTAGCTTTTTAGAAATGTAGGCGCATGGTAGTTGCTTGTTTTCCTGTAGAACACTGTGCCCACTGCAGCATCACTGGCATCAGCGTGAATGATGAAAGGGGTGTTGGGTCTGAGTGTTTCAGCACCGGGTCTGCTGCAAATAAGTGTTTAAGCTGTTCGAATGCAGTCTGGCCTTCCATAGTCATTTAAGCGGCTGGCTGGGTTTGGGTTGCTCCTCCCCTTTTGTCTTTAGCAGGTTGGTGAGGGCAGGGTTATTTGGGCAAACGAGTGGATGAACTGATAGTAAAAGTTCGCAAATCCCAGAAAACTTTATAATTGCAGGGAAGAGTCAACTGCCCACACCTTTTTGGGGTCCATCTCTATCTCCCTAGGGGAGATGGGGTAGATCAGGGGTGTCAAACGGCTGGCCCGTGGGCCAATTGCAAGATGTGGAGGCCACACCCACCCCAGCTCCAGCAATGTGAAAAAAGTCATGATAGATTGTGACACGTTACGTGACGCAGTGAGTTTGACACCTGTGAGGTAGTTAGTCCATTTTACTCTGGTGGAATTCACATTTGGACAGCTTGCCATATAGTTTGGCCCCTCGAAGCTTCTTGAGCACAACTCTTACTAGTTTTTCATGTTCTGCAGCACTTTGTTTATTAACTGCATAAACACAGCAGGTGCTCCTTCCAGTCCAAAAGGGAGGACCCGAAACTGGGAGCATCCTAAAGGGCAATTAAAA